GTGAGTGGGAACTGGTCTGTATGTGGGATCCGAATCCTCGGCGGGAGCGCCGCCGCGCTCCTAAGCGGTGCACTGTAGCAGTGTGCCACCGGGCCGGCCCAAGACATTTTTCTTACTGCTCTAAACTGACTTTGAAAACATCTCTGTATAATCAAAGACAATCGTGGAACAAAAGTCAGCCTAGCTTTGCAAACATGAACCTTCCCTGCACAGGGTAAGGTTTTAAAAGACATGCGGTGTATGCTGTGTCTTTCTCCTTGCTGGGGACAGGCCTTCTTCAGTACAGACTCATGGTGGATCCTGCCAGAGCTGCCCAGTGGTCAGTCTATAGTCCTGGTCCATCTTGTGAAAAGCTCTACTGCTCCTCTCCTTTCCAGGTGGTCATAGGTGACAAGGTTGTTCTGAACCCCGTCAATGCTGGTCAGCCCCTACATGCCAGCAGCCACCAGCTGGTAGATAACCCAGGCTGCAATGAGGTAAGGAGAATCTAGTTATGGCTTATGAGCAGGGTTGTGCTGCAGGAGCAAGCCTTCCTGGGGCCAGAGCATGTGCGTGCTGAAAGTGACTTCAGCAGTGACTTGGCTGGTGTGCCCATTCTGTGGGTAAGGAAACTCAGGCTCACAATTGGGGCTGCCACAGAGGTTGTGCCAGTCTGTGCAGTGGGTGGTGGGTAGGGGCTGATATTCACCCCAGCGCTCAGTTTGCTAAGCCTTGCATCCCTGGGGGGGATTGTTTTGTAATTTGTTAAGCCAGAGAAGGTCCCTTTTGCCAAACATCTTCTGGCCACAGGGGCATCTTTTTCAAAAAGCTCTTTTAAAAGATGTGGATTCAAATCCCAGGTCTGCCATTCCCTAGCTCTGTGACTGTAGAGTAGTTATCCAGTCTCCCTGTGCATCAGTTTCCCTGTCTCTGAAATGGGGGTGATGGTGGTACCTGTTTTTTAGGGTGTTGCTGAGGATTAAATGAGATAGGGAATGTTAGTACTTAGCGCGTTGCCTGGCATTTAGGAATGTACTTCAGAAAGTTCATAGAAAAATAGAATTAAAACAATATAAATCTTTCCATGAACTTTTTGAAGTACCTTCATATTTATGGCATGAAATATGCTGCTGCTGTTAGCAATGACCATTAACATT